TTGTTCCCGAAGTCTTCGCTGAAGTCTTGTGTTCCGATGATGCACTGTGTTGGTCGTTTGCTCCTGTGTCCTAGTGATAGGGGTGTTCCTAGTGATCCTATGAGCTGCTGCGTCCCGTAAACGCTCGGGTCCTCTATTTTCCTCGATCGATCTCCAGGTAGCATGATCAGCAGTGTTTTGCGACTGCTCTCGTCGTCGCTCTTTGGAATCCGACCTGACTATTGCGCGCGCTGCAGCGTCCCGTGCGCGCTCTGGTCGTCGATTTTCCTCGATCGATCTCCACGTAGCATGGTCAGCAGTATTTTGCACCTGCTGTAGTCGTCGCTCTTCGGAATTTGACCTGGCGCTTGCGTGCGTTGCAGCGTCCCGGTGCGTTCGGGCTCTCGCGCGATTGTCAGTGTTCCTCAATCGTTCGCTGGCTCGAATTCTTTCGCTTCTCCTTCTCTGAGAGCGAGCAGCGGAATTTCGCGAGGGAGCTTCTTCTGCTACCTCCAAATTACTTGTACGGGCCAAGGCAATGTGCTGCGCATTACGGGTCCTTATTTGTAACGCATTTTGAGCATTTTGGGATCGGCTTCGTCTAAGCGCGGCACTCTCTTTATTTTGCTGTTAAAAAATAATTGTATAAAAGTTAAGGGGTTATAATTTGTCTTCGAATTTCAAAATCTCTTTGGTCGGGATTCTGGTAAATATTTATTGATGTTCATATACTTTCCACCTGAATTTCACCAGAAGAGACTTATGTGTTACGACTTTATGAATCCTGTTTTACTTTATAGAAATACTTTCCAAAGGAAAAAAGTATAATAACACTTTATTATTTTGTTACACACTTTTCACCTTATACTTTTTGGTGGATTTTCATTCACTTTTCACCTTATACTTTCGGTGTGTTTATATTAATTGAGTAGAAAACATACACAAAACAATGTATACGTTGTCACTCGGCAACTGGTTTTCATAGACTAATCCGGTTATTAGGATTACGAGTCAATATTAAGGTTTGAATCATACCTGCTATCAACCTTCGTATAACTTTTTCGATGGCGGGGAATGCCCGATTTTAGGGACAATTCGTATGTAAATTAGGAAAGCCAAGTTAATTACCTAATTTAAGGATTGCGTAATAACTGCATTATTACTCTAGCTTCGTGGCAACCTTGTTATGGTTATTTCTGTAATCTAAAATAGAAAAAACGGTTATACCTAGGTAGCCTAACTTATAATTTGAACATCTGTATCCATGATATTCGTGTCCTAACACTACCGCATTCAGCAAAATATTACAGTCGTCAGTTTTTTGTGTTAAATTAATTTCGTAATTCTGAAAAGTTAAAATATTCTATACCCAGAGAAAAAGAAAATACGATCAAAATCAAAAAAGCAAAAATTTTGTAAAAAAAATTATTTCATTATTTCTCTGACCGTTTCTTTGACAGCTATATCTTAATGTCGTCCGATTTGTATTAAATTTAATTCGAAATTTTTTAAAATACACAAAATGTTATTCCCAATAGCATAAGATATTATGTCAAAAAACACCGAAGCTATAATTTATTTCATTTTATTTTTAAATTTTATATTCGAAATTCAGAACTAATTAAAAAATATTATTTCCAAGCGTATGAGGTTATGTGTTAAAAAGCACCAAAGATATTATTAAATTTTTTTTCGATTATTCCTATGGGAGCCATAAAATATAGTTGTCTGATCAGGCTGGTTCCGACTTATATACTACCTGCAAAAGAAGGAAGACTTTTGGGAAAGTTTCAGACCGATAGCTTTAAGACAGACGGACAGACGGACATGACTAGATCGACTCGTCAAGTGACGCTGATCAAGAATATACATACTCTATGGGGTTGGAAACGTCTGCTTCACTGCGTTGCAAACTTCGGACGGGAATCATAATACCCTCTGCAAGGGTAAAAAACACCGAAGCTATAATTTGTTTCATATTATTTTCCCACTAATTTTCCGATCGTTCCTATGGCAGCTATATGATATAGTCGTCCGATTGTGATAAAATTTAATTCACAATTCAAAACTAATTAAAAAATGTTATTTCCAAGCTTAGGAGGTTATATGTTAAAAAACACCAAAGATATAATTTTTTACATTTTTTTTTCCGATTATCCCAATGGGAGCTGTAAGATATAGTTGTCCGATCCGGTTGGTTCCGACTTATATACTACCTGCAAAAGAAATAAGACTTTTGGGAAAGTTTCAGCCCGATAGCTTTAAAACTAAGGGACTAGTTTGCGTAGAAACGGACGACAGACGGACGTGGCTAGATCGACTCGTCTAGTGATGCTGATCAAGAATATATGTACATACATACTTTATGGGGTCGAAAGCGTCTCCTTCACTGCGTTGCAAACTTCTGACTGAAATCAAAATACCCTCTCCAAGGGTATAATAAAAAATTGACAAATTTAGAGAACAAAATTCTTAACTATATACCTACGAACCACTTAAAAAATTATGAAATATCCGATTATATATTATCAAATACCTCGGAACTCTCTTTGGATAATATAAACATTTTAAATCCATTTATTAATATTAATAATACCAAAATATCTTTATCATGTTATTAATTTTAATCATTATATATTTAATTTCTTTACCTATTATTAAGTTTATGTCGGGTTATGGATTTGATTTTCCATATTTTGCGTAGATTGTATACGGCGAATATCCTTGAGCACACCACAGTCGATTTGAGAATGCGCGCCAGCCTTCTTGGATACCGAAAAAGTCCTCCCGAAAATGCTGCAACGAGCATACTTGTGTCTCTGTCTCTCGCAGTGGCTCAAGGATACACGCACAACAATCGTAGTGCGCATCTCTCTCTCAAACCTCTAACCTCTCACAACTTTCTTTCTCATGTTCTCATCGAACTCTACTGACCATCTGGCGAATAGACGGAACAAAGCGTACTAACAAACAACCGTTAGAGTGCAGAGACGAGAATTGCCACTTGGTACGCGCATTTGATTTAATGCTTTTACACTGACTACCATAATTTAAGATCCGACATATACAAATAAATTTGTAACCAAAAAACAACGGCCATAACTTGGAAAACCTATTAACGAAGACATTTTTTAACAGAATTAAGAGATCGTTAAAACGGAATGCATAATGAAATGGGACAACCCATTTTAGAAGGCGGAGAGTTATCCAACCCGTGAAACGATTCCACTTATGGTATTAATAAGCAAATCTTTAAATTCAATCTCAGCTATATTGCCCTTGCCTTCAGCGACATTGACTTTGCCTTTGTTTTTTATTTTCCATTAACTTCGAAGGCCGCGCTTGACCGTCCTGCTAAGATAAATAAAGCAGTCGTTAAGATACGCATCAAGTTAGCAAAACAACTTTTGATATCCAATCTTTTTTCCTATTGACAATTTGCCGTTAATTATTCGTGAAAGAAATAAATTTGCCGCTTAATTTTTTAAAAATTATAAGGTGTTCTGCTAAGTTGATATCAAGTTAGCACTACAACTCCTTAAACTTGAACTTTTCCAAAATGTTTTTAACTGGTATTTTGCCGTTATTTATCCGTAAATTATTCGTGAAAGAATTAATTTTGTCGCTCCATTTTTAAAATTTATTTTTTAAAAAACTTAGTTGTTCTACTAAGTTGATATCAAGTTAGCAGTACAACTCCTTAAACTCCTTAAAGCCATTATTTATCCGAAAATTATTCGTGAAAGAATTATTTTTGTCGCTCCATTTTTAAAATATTATTTTTTTTGATTTTAAGCGGTTATTTTACGTATGTGTACATTGGAGAAAAATACCCTCTTGTGATCCTTAGCACTGTAAGAATTCCCCTTATTCGAATTCTTACAGTGCTAAGGATCACAAGAGGGTAATGAAGCGACAAAATGTATTCTTTTACGAATAATTTACGGATAAATAACGGCAAAATACCAGTTAAAAACATTTTGGAAAAGTTCAAGTTTAAGGAGTTGTAGTGCTAACTTGATATCAACTTAGCAGAACACCTTATAATTTTTAAAAAAATTAAGCGGCAAATTTATTTCTTTCACGAATAATTTACGGATAATTAACGGCAAATTGTCAATAGGAAAAAAGATTGGATATCAAAAGTTGTTTTGCTAACTTGATGCGTATGTCGTTAAGTAAACACAAGCTTCTGTTCGAAGCCCAAACTCTTACGTTCAAAGCCTAAAGTATTGCGTTTTAAGTTCAGATCATATTGCGTTTCGATTTGACAAATTGCATCGGTCAGCATAATTTAATTTCACAACGAGACAGTTTCAGCATAAGCTTTTATTTTAAACAACATTTAAAGGTCTAGAAGCTTAAGAAGGTAAAGCTTCTGGCCGAGGTTCGTTGGATAAGATTTTAGAATTAAGAAGTCAGTCTATTTCGGATTGAAGTCGCGTAGGTCATACCTAATAATAAAAAGTAAAAGTGTATTGATGTATTAGTGAGTTTGTGAATTCAGGTCAACTACCAACAGAATTCAATTAAGAAATTAAAAATTATATTTTTTCAAATAAACGACAATGAATAAAATTAATTTACACATATTTTAGGAGGACTGTGGGTGTTTCAGATCTCTATATTTTAAACTGAGGTCTCAAACGGTATTAAAACAGACGGACAAACGGACATGGCTACAACGACTTTCCTAGTGATCCTGATCAAGAATATATATACATTATCGGAAACGTTTCCTACCAAAATTATAATACCCTCTGCAAGGGTGTAATAAAATGTAAAAATCGGTTGCACTATGCCCAAGACACTCCATATTCTGAACTTCATTGACAAACTCAGTTGCGCTGCACGGTAATAATACCCACTTGTAGCCTTTGTGGCGAGAGAATAATGTCAATGATATCCGGCAGGGCCGCAGGGAAACTTTAAAACGACAGCTGGGCTCATTGCTTCCATTTTAAGAGAAAACTCCAGCTTTCTGTGAATCGCGCTTATCCACTGGAGGCCTCGTCAAAGAGATGGCTAATCCGTTCCGCTGGTGCCTCGTATCGCAAAACTGTATGCTGCAGATTAACGTGGTCCTGGTGGTGGTGGGGCTGATCATCCTGCTAGACGTGTTCGGCCACCTCTATGTAAAGTCGGTAATGTTTCCTGGTCTGCACGTCTACCCAGTGGCCATGCGCAAGTGGCTCTTCTGGGTGCGCCTTATGACAATCGTTTCCTACGTTCTGACCGCAATCCTGGGAATTCGAATGACCCGGCAACCGACCGTCTTTAAGTTCGCTGGCTACATGTTGGTTGGCTGCGTGGTGTTGCTGTACACATTTACCATCGCGGTGACGCGCTTCATGTATCGTCGCAGGTTCGAATTCTTCTTCCAGTTAATGGTCAGCCAGATGTGGATAAAAAATTGTCTGGGTAAGATCGAGGTGGAGCTCGGATGTTGCGGTAGGACCAGCGCGGCCGACTACCAGAAGTGCTCGACCAACCGCACCTGGGCCAGTGGCTCCTGTTGCGGGGAGCACAATTGTCCAGGATGCACATCGAAGCTTACCGAGTACTTGTGGACTATTGTCGCGTGCAGTTTTAAGAGGACTTTTACAATTCATACGACTCTGAGGAGACCTCTTGAATGCGCAGAAGCGACACGACAAAGCGAACAGGCTCATCTTGCCGTGACAGCGAATAGGACTTAGTTTTATTTAATGGCCTTTGTCCGCTCTGATCAATTTGACTTTAATTCAACATTAATACATACGACTATGTTTTGCTTTTGTTATGCTTTTTGCGAATCATTAAGCTGGACGCCAGCGGAGCGCCCACATGAACCCCAAAGCAAGCTTCCACTGAAATTCTTTTAAACCAAATTCATAAATACTCTATAATAACTAAAATTTGATATTCCCTCAAGATGTCCGAAAATGAATTAGCTATGACGATGATTTGTTCAACCCATGTTTCAATTGATTGTTTAAAAAACCCGATTGTGCATAAAAATAGTTTCTTCCATTCAGAGTTGAACTGGGTCCCATAAGTTTTACATACTATGTTTATGCTATGGGAATCGCGATTTCTTGAAAGCGCGATATAGAAATAACCCCTGTTTATGCGACACATATCATTTCGTGATTTGATTTCAGTAGAGATGCCAGACGTGAAAAATTAGGTATTTTAGTCTGGTCACACTTGCATAAAAAGTAAACAAACCAAACAACGCGATGGATAAAGTTAAATTTTTTATTTACAATCGGCAAATAAGAACCGGAAATTTAATTTCCAAAGTCGCTGAGTGGAGGCACAGAAGATCGATGGCTTTATTAAAAGCGAGGCGGTTTTTGGTGGCCAGGAGTCACAGGATGCTGATGCAGGTTTACCCGGCTGCAACCGCGACTCTCAGCCTGAGGACATCCAGAGTGCGAAGATTTAGGAGCAGGCCAAGAAGCAATGCATTTTGGTTACTTATGCAAGAGCCAAAAAATGAAAATTTGTTTTTTGAAAACTTAAGGATGTCCAAGAGTTCATTTTTCGAACTGTGCGAATTGCTACGTCCCCACATACCGGTGCAGAGCATGTTTCTAACCGTTCCAGTTCCCTTGGAGAAACAAGTTGCGATCTGCGTATATAAACTGGCGACCTGTGCCGAGTATCGAGTGATTGGGGATGTATTTGGAGTACATAAAAGTACTGTGCACAAGTACTTTCATATTGTGGTTAAGGCAGTATTGAAACTTACGAGTGAATTAATTTCATTCCCAAAACTGGATGAATGCATTCAAAATGCAAGTGCATTTCAAAAAATGTGTCACATTCCTAACGTGATTGGAGCTATTGACGGTAAAATGCCTTTTAGAGTATTAATTACAAATTATAAACGCTATGTATCAATTATTTAGGAACACACATTCCTGTTAAAGCCCCAAAAATTGGGTACATGGATTTCGTCAATCGAAAGGGATGGACATCGATGGTCATGCAAGCTGTAGTTGACAACAATTACTTGTATGTAAAAACATATTTATATATTGGTTGTTTTTCCAAATATTATATATGTATTTTTAGGTTTAGAGACGTCAGCATGAAATTTCCAGGAAGTGTCCACGATGCCACGGTCTTTAAAGAATCGCGAATTTTTAAGAACCATAGCCGAATTATTCCGGAATTTTTAAAACTGGTGGGCAACAAGGAGATTCCCTTCATTATCCTGGGAGATCCGGCATACCCATTGCTATCGTGGCTTTTAAAACCATATACCGGACACTTAACTCCACAGGAAGAGTCGTTTAACTGCTACCTTAGCACGGGCAGAATTGTTGTAGAAAATGCCTTTGGTCGATTAAAAGGACGCTGGAGGCCAAAAGAATAGATATTAATTATAAATTTGTGCCATATGATGCTTTGGCTTGCGCGACACTTCATAACTTCGTCGAAATAAGAAAGGAGAAGTTTACGCCAATCAACGAGTATGAATGTAACCAGCAACCACCGGACTGGCATTGTAACCAAGTACTGGAATCTTCTGAATGCGATCCATCTGACCTTAGGGAACACCTTAAGGAATACATTGTTTCTAACTTTCCTTTGCGAAGCAGTTCAAAATAAATGAAAATTGCACAATTACTTTTGTTTCGAAATATTTCAGCTTTAATTGGAGTTGAAGAATTCTAGCATGAATCTTTGGCTCAAGGAACTCCTGGTTCTGCACCTCTAGCCTGTCCAACGCCTCCTTGTTGTCGTCTGACATCTTCTGTACCATCTGCACGACGTTTGCCTTGTCTAAAAATCAAATGAAATCATTGAAAATTACCATCGTGTTACCGTTAATGAGAATTAATATGCTTACTTGAAGTACGGCGGCTCCTAGGCATAGATGTCTCTACCAGGAGTTCAGGTGCATCAACAGTAGAACTGGATTCATCAATCCCCTCTGTTTCGGTGAAGACTTCATTGGCCAGGTCATCGAAGCCATCGATTGCCACAAATCCCTCCTCCGATGTGTCCACACCTACAGCCTGAGACACCGGGCGAGTCCCGTACATCTCCTCGAGCTCCTCGAAGTGGGTGCACGATTTCCTGCCAGCCCCACTGACTGCATTGCTGCGCTTTACTTCAAAATATGATTTTTTTAACTGTCGCAGCCTTCATCAATTCTGCGAGGCCCCTGTAAACTAGGTTGTTTCGCTTGGTCTTCCCATCGAGCTTGCTCAAGATATTGTTTTCCTTCATCAGGCCAAGCAGCTCGGTTACCTCAGCGTCTGACCAAAACGATCTTTTCGATTCCATGGCTATTTCGATAATTATTCCCTTTTCTTTGTTTAATTTGCGTTTTAATTTCAACTTTTATGCACGGCGTTGCCACCTGATTTGTATAGCGTTAAGTTGGTTGCGCATCACGAATTCACGCTTTGAGGCTGAAATCATAGTCAACTTTCGTGTGTTGCCGAAATCACGAAATGGCGTTTATGCACACACGAATCGGCCGAAATCGCGAAATGAAAGCGTGAATTCGGCATCGCATAAACACAGTAACAGTTAAGCAACTAGACCCCTAGACTAGTCCCCGGACCTATTCAGTCAAATGCGAGATTAAGCCCTTTTGGCAGCAAATCACACGAAATTATACACTAACACAATTAATTAAAGAATGAACAACACACACTAGGAAGAAAATTGAGCCGTACTTTCGTTTATGGTGGTTACTCATCTTGTAGTCTATATTATTTTTGGTATGACCCATACAAATTTTGGAACGGATTCTTGGGTTATTAGTTCGTCAAAACATTTAAGCAGTGCAACTCTTTATTTTTCGTAACCCGATCTCAAAAAGATATGGATTTTTTAAGGGAGATATAATTAAAATAAATCAATGACAAACAGCTACGGTCATACTAATAGTAGTACCACCGTCCTTTTTTGGGTCAATCGATAGGTGTTGCCGAGATTAATACATTTCAGTTACAATTTTTTTCTAGCATGAAAACTGTAGGCACCACAATTTTGGGCGGTTTGTGGGCGTTAGAGTGGGCGTGGCAACTTGCTGAAACAAACTTGCGCTGCGCAAGGAGCTAAGAATCTACATACCAAATCGCTTTCTAGCTCTTGTAGTTTCCGAGATCTCAGCGTTCATCCGGACGGACAGACGGACATCTAGTATGTAACGAACATCCGCTAAATAAAAACTAAGGCTGGGTGTTACGGACGGTTAGAGCGCACGCAAAGTGGGGTGGATCTTTGCTCTAACTCATCATTGCCTCTTTGATTATTATCAAAACTCGGACTGCGTGCAAAGACAAACCAAAACTAAGGCCGGGGAGAGAAAGCACTACTATACTTGGTCTATTATCGGGCGTAAGGCCCCCTATACCTGCGATCGAGTCTACCGCTTGTCCACCTCAGCTGTTAAAGAGGCGGCATTCAGCCCACCATTGGCCGTTCCCTAACCAATTTCCTTCCTTCAGAACGGCCCCTTCGCGGTTGTGGCTCTACGGGGGTCTCCTGTCCGCCGAGGACCATCACTTAATTTACCACATTATAAACATTTTATTTATCAACTAACAAATTAAAATCCTAGCAAAATGAACATCGCCCAAAATACGGACTAAAACTAACATTGAGTATAAGGGGACAGTATAAAGATAATAAAAAGATAAAATATCATAATATAATAAATAGCATTAAAATATAATAAATAGCATAAATAATTTCTTATGAATATGGGATGGATGCGATAAATGTGGCTTATAAATATTTCGAATAGGATCGGGCTGCTGATATGTTTTACTTTAGTTTGGTTTGCGTTAAATATATAACCGTTCTCAATTTACGCAATTTACGGCGTTGGCGCGTTAAGTGGGTTTCTGCTGCTCGTATTTTTTACCATTACATAAACGGGCAGCATTACATGTACAAAAAAAAGTGACTTGCCAAATTTTAAAAAGTTTTCTTTTGATTTTTAGAAGCACGCTCACGCCACATAATAAAAAAATTAAAAATTAATTTGAAATCGCCACAAAACATATGTCAATCAAATATGTTTTTATATAAAATAAAAGCTCACGAATTTTCCAGCGGCATCCTCGAAGAAAGCGCTTTTTCCGAAGGCGGCGGAAAATGCTGTGAAAAGAATAAAGTCTTTGGGGACACAGGGGCTTTTTCACTTTTTCATTTTCTTATTATACCCGTTACTCGTAGAGTAAAAGGGTATACTAGATTCGTCGGAAAGTATGTAACAGGCAGAAGGAAGCGTTTCCGACCCCATAAAGTATATATATTCTTGATCAGGATCACTAGCCGAGTCGATCTAGCCATGTCCGTCTGTCCGTCTGTCCGTCTGTCTGTCCGGATGAACGCTGAGATCTCGGAAACTATGAGAGCTAGGCTATTGAGATTTGGCGTACAGATTCCTGAGCTTCTTACGCAGCGCAAGTTTGTTTCAGTAGACTGCCACGCCCACTCTAACGCCCACAAACCGCCCAAAACTGTAACACCTACAGTTTTGATGCTAGATAGAAAATTTTAACTGAAATGTAATGTTCTCATCAATACCTATCGATTGACCCAAAAAAAAGTTTGCCACGCCCACTTAAACGCCCACAAACCGCGAAAACCTGTGACGCCCACAATTTGCATGCTAGATAAAAAATTTTAACTGAAATGTATTGGTGTCGTCAATACCTATCGATTGATCCAAAAATAAATTTGCCACGCCCACTCTAACGCCCATAACGCTTAAATCTGTCTACCGCCGGTAGGTGGCGCATTTTAATCTCGCTTTGCTGCTTGCATATCTCCATTTCCCTTTGAGTAACGGGTATCTGATAGTCGAGGTACTCGACTATAGCGTTCTTCCTTGTTTTAAATTTGTTTTTCCTATTATTCCTATGGGAGCTATAAGATATAGTTGTCCGATCCGGCTGGTTCCGACTTATATACTACCTGCAAAAGATATAAGACTTTTGGGAAAGTTTCAGCCCGATTGCTTTAAAACTGAGAGACTAGTTTGCGTAGAAACGGACGGACAGACGGACAGACGGACATGGCTAGATCGACTTGTCTAGTCATGCTGATCAAGAATATATATACTTTATGGGGTCGGAAACGTCTCCTTCACTGCGTTGCAAACTTCTGACTGAAATCAATATACCCTCTGCAAGGGTATAAAAAAAACAAAACATAGAGTCGGGAACTCTCAAAAAACCCTCGGATAAGCTGAACACTGGTTCCAACGTCCGCACCAGCAAGGTCCCGAAAGGGCCGCATCCCAAACTGGGGATGACGGGTGGCAGAAAGCCAGCCGCGAACGCCTCTGCCACTAGCGCATCTGCGCCTAAAGCAGCGGTAGGCCAAGGCGCTCGGGCCACCCGCTGGCGCCAAAAAATATACTTACGCAGAAAGGCGGTCTGCCGCCCAGACTCTGCGCTCTCATACTAGGAGCGACGTTGCCACACCTTCGCCTGAATGGCTAAAGAAGGTAGAGTGGGCAATGAAGGTGCTTCCAAACAACGGGCAGGAAAAGCCCACTCAAGAGGCGACTCAGGCGAAAAGGCAGCGATCCCTCGAACTACCCGGACCATCGAAGAGATCTAAGATCCAGCCATCGGTCTCGTTCGCAGAAATCGCGTAGAACCGTGTCCTACTCGGCCTAATTGACAGGGGAAATCCGGAGGGCAGGATCCCCAGGAACAAGTGGAAGGCAGTGGAATCCCACCTTTCCCTCATTTGCCTGCGCATGGTACGAGAGAAGCCAGGCACCTCGCCCTGCTGCATGGACGCGGGCTGATACCAGGGCAGCGTCAAGGTGGTGGCCTGCGACAGTCAGCGGTCGGCTGACATGTATAAAGAGTCGACAAGCAAGCTCGGCGAGGTATACGAAGGGGCGAACATCGTTGCGCTTGACTGGTGCGATGTCCCCAGTAGACCCCGAGCCAGGATTTGGCTTCCAGCAGCGATCAAGGCGCCGGAGGACATCCTCTTCATGTTGCAAGAATGCAACCCGCACCTCCCCACGAAGGACTGGAAAGTCGTCAAGGTGGAGGAGCATGAAGGGGTATAAGGGCGACTCCAACGCCGCTAACAGCTCTGCCGGCAACCCAGCCGAGCAGGTGCTTGCTGACGAGTTGGAGGCACCTGATGGGCTGGAGGACTACTCTACCGATTCGTCGCTAAGCAGAGAGATGCGAGCGCTCGGACCGGCAATCGAGGACGTAGACCTCAGCGACACATAGGAGGCCGACGTCACTGTGGTGGAGGTTGAAGCTGTAGATGTCACTAAGACTTCTACAAATAAACCTTCACCACAGTAAAGCAGCGTCTGATGCACTTCTTCCGACCTAGTCCTTGTACAGGAACCTTGCGTAGTAAGGCATC